AGAGAAAGCAATATTAAAGATTAGAGATTTATATTTGGCAATATATTTCCTTTTGGTAAAGCTCCTTTTTTCTTCTTGTAACAAGCCAACCTCAGAATCATAAATTGTTTTTTAAGATTATTTTATATGAGAAATAATAAATAAGATTTTAGTTTAAACATAATTTAATTAAATAGTTCATTTCCCGTTAACTAAAACTTCTGAGATTTTTTTTATGGACACATTGGCACTGGGCATAAGAAGTCTCCCATTTTCTGCTTTTTTCTTTTCCCTTTATAACATTTGTAGAATAAATATGAGGGGGAACGCAAAAAAGCAGTTTTATAATGGTCGTAGGTTTTTGGGGGGGGGTACAGGGACTGTAGAGAGATTTAGATAAAACATCTGTTCAAAACCACTAAATATAAACTTACTATTTAAATTAAGTGCTTGCAAATACTATATAAATATCATTACTACCTTTTATTGTGTTATCTTTTGAGAATGCTATACCTAAATTGGGAGTATGTATGTATACTCTATAACTACATTTCTCTTTTAGGAAGCATATAGAATACGTTTTAAAGCAATGACATGTTTTCAAATTTTCAGGTTAATTTTTTAACTATCAGAAAGCTCATGGGTAGATTAATTTTTACTGAAGGGAATAGAAATATAGTAAGCTCATGTCCATTGTCATCAGGGTGTGAGGTTTTCAGATGATTTTTTTAGACAATACAGCATCTAATTTTAAGTACTAAGATTTCAATAAAGATAGTCTTTTTATTGAGCATATGCAGCTTAATTTAATTCTTTATTTTCTGTCTTGATTTGTCATGATGTCTTACGGGAGCTGTAGCTGTGCTTGCCTCTTGCCCTCCTCCCCTTTGTAAATTTGTGTTTTTTAATTTTTATTATTTTAAAGATTAGTTAGAATAATGCTAAATGTAGAAACATATATATGTAATAAGAATATCCTTTTAAGAGTCATGGTCTTTGTTGGTATATATTTTGGCTCTTTAGAAAGTCTTTCAAACCTTACCTGTTTCCTCCCCCACCCCACTTCCCTTTAGTTTTAATTGTTGGATGGATGAGTTTTGGAGAATTGAGCTTTTTAAAAAATTTCTTATGATATTGTAGATTTACTTTTATTCCATGTAATAGGGGAAACTGTTATTTGATATATATATATATATATATATATATATATATATATATATATATATATATATATATAGTATTGGAGTAAAATAGTTGCCACTTAAATCAAGAAGTATTTACTTTTTGTGTGAAAACTGTATGGATTATATTTTTATATTTTGTTTTAGCAGCTTAAGTGCCATTTATATATTTTATTAAGAGGTATATACTTTTTGAATTTGAATACATTGTTATATGTAATTTTCCATGCTTAAAATATTAAATAATTGGTTCCAATTGATTTAGTATATGTTTGAAGTATTGGGTTATTAAGCTAGAAAGTTTTGAATGGTATATAATTAAAAGTTATATTACGCTGAAACCGGTTTGGCTCAGTGGATAGAGCGTCGGCCTGCAGACTGAAAGGTCCCGGGTTCGATTCCGGTCAAGGGCATGTACCTGGGTTGCGGGCACATCCCCAGGAGGAGATGTGCAGGAGGCAGCTGATCGATGTTCCTCTTTCATCGATGTTTCTAACTCTCTATCCCTGCCCCTTCCTCTCTGTAAAAAAATCAATAAAATATATTTTTTAAAAAAAGTTATATTACAATGTATTTTAATATTTAAATTAGTTTCACAAACTAACATTTTGATGACTTTAATTTAATTTGCAAAATTTAGTTTTAAATTTAAATATATAAATTCTAGTAGGTTATCAAGTACTAACCAGGCCAGACCCTGCTTAGCTTACAAAATCAGATGAGATTGAGCCCATTCTGGGTGGTATGGCTGTAGACATCCTATTAGGTTATCAGAGTAGTACGTTGAATGTTTAGAGAATAAATGTTTTAGAAGATAATTGCTATTTTGTTTTAAACATGATATTTAAGTATTAATAGTTTTTTAAAAGATCATACTTTCTAGTGCAATGGTCGGCAAACTCATTAGTCAACCGAGCCAAATATCAACGGTACAACGATTGAAATTTCTTTTGAGAGACAAATTTTTTAAACTTAAACTATATAAGTAGGTACATTGTTATTAACTTAATTAGGTACTCCTAAGGCTTAGGAAGAGCTACACTCAAGGGGCCAAAGAGCCGCATGTGGCTCGCGAGCTGCAGTTTGCCGACCACGGTTCTAGTGGAATTTATCTGTGGTTTCACTCGTAGACAAACAGAATGTACTTTTTAATTTTAGCACAGTTTGGTGAAGAAAGGAGAGGGATCTGTACTTTCATTGAGCAAATTATGTATGTAAATGAATTTTAAATATAATGTATATGTGTTTTGCCATGAGGTGACAAGAATTAACTATAACCATTTAAATACAGTATATAAGATTATAATCAAAGTAGAGTCTATGTTATTTTACTTTTTAAAATATCATTTGAAATATTTATGAATTTTAATAGGATCATACTTTTAAAAAATCTTCAAAAGACATAGCCTCTTCTTGGGTAACCCCAAAATAGACATGGGCGGGGGGAAGATCAAGTTTGTCCTACTTTATTTTATGATAAAGTTTTTTATATACAGGTCTGTACTTGACATGTGTTTCATTTTATTTTTAAACAAAGAACATTTGTAAACTTGGAAATTAATGTAAAGGTGTAAATTGAATGAAGTGACCTGGCTAGGTCAGTATTCTCTTCAGTCAACAAAATGATTACAAGATAACAACATCTGGTTAAATCAAAGATAGTGAAGTACTTAAGGTAAAGATAAAACGTGCAATTTGTCTTTAATATTGCCACTCAAGAAGCTTAACCCAGCCGAAACCGGTTTGGCTCAGTGGATGGAGCGTCGGCCTGCGGACTGAGGGGTCCCAGGTTCGATTCCGGTCGGGGGCATGTACCTGGGTTGCAGGCACATCCCCAATAGGAGATGTGCAGGAGGCAGCTGATTGATGTTTCTCTCTCATCGATGTTTCTAACTCTCTATCTCTTTCCTTCCTCTCTGTAAAAAATCAATAAAATATATTAAAAAAAAGAAGAAGAAGCTTAACCCATTTGTAGGTTACTAAATGATACAGGTTTTTACTTAACGTTTTAACACAGAAAATTTACTCTAACAGAGCTGAATGTTAAATTTGGTAGTAATTAGTTCTTGTTTTTTGATTATTTATTGTATTTATCCCTTCTCTATCCTATATAATAAAAGTCTAATATGCAAATTGGCCGAACGGCAGAACAACTAGTCGCTATGACACGCACTGACCACCAAGGGGCAGATGTTCAATGCAGGAGCTGCCCCCCAGCCCGCAGGCCCCAGGCCGGCCAAGGCAGGTGCCAGTGGGGGCCCCCCCGATTGCCCCACAGATCGGCCCTGATCGCCAGCCAGACCTAGGGACCCTACCCATGCACGAATTTTGTGCACTGGGCCTCTAGTAGTTTAATAATATTATAGTAAGGTTTTTGTTTTATTTTTTAAACTGGGATAGACGCAGGCAAAAGAAGACAATTTTATCTCCCTAAATATGTGGCCACAAAGGCTAATCCAGAGAAAAAGATACATGGGATTTAGCTTAATGTTTGTTTATGTATGGATTTTGTTTTACTTAAAAAAGACTTGTGCCCAGCCGGGTGTAGCTCAGCGGTTGAGCGTTGTCCCAGGAACCAAGAGGTCACTGGTTCAATTCCCGGTCAGAGCATATGCCCAGGTTGCGGACTCGATTCCCAGTGGGGGGCGTGCAGGAGGCAGCCGATCAGTGATTCTCTCTCATCATTGATGTTTCTATCTCTCTCTCCCTCTCCCTTGCTCTCTGAAATCAATAAAAATATGTTAAAAGAAAAAAAAAGGACTTGTTACTAGTGTTAGCATATGAAAAGGCATAGGTCTCTTTTCAGGACTTAAATGTACTTGTGAAAATTCATTTACCAATGATTCTTGAGCTGTAGGCTGTTTTAGTTTGGTTGATATTTGAGTAATACCCATTTGCTAACACTCTGCAGGTGCCTTTATATAATTATTAAGTCTTCTTAATAATTATATAAAGTAAACGGTTCCATTTAGTGAAACTAAAACTCAGGGAATTTAAGTGATTTTTGAAGGTCTTATTGCTGGTAGATAGCAAAGGTAGATTTGGGACCTAAAACTCCTTGTTCTTAATCTCTAGTAGTTTTTCATCAGAGTTAGAATTATAAATTGGATCCTAATTAATATGATAAGATCTAAGAGGAAAGATCATTCCCTGTGGCCTTTTAGACAAATCAACCACTGGTTATGGTTAAATGTAATGTTTTCACAGTATGTACTTTTGAAAATTCTGATAAAAACAATATGAGCCATTTAGAAAAATTTAGATATATAAACTTTTGAATATAATTACAGTGGCATCATTGAGCAAATAATGAATTCATGTATTATAAGAAGTTATGCTCAGTTGTCTAAAAGTATGCTGTTTAGCCCTGACCGGTTTGGTTCAGTGGATAGAGCGTCGGCCTGGGGACTCCAGGGTCCCATGTTCGGTTTCAGTCAAGGACATGTACCTTGGTTGCACCACATCCCTGGTGGGGAGTGTGCAGGAGGCAGCTGATCGATGTTTCTCTCTCATTGATGTTTCTATCCCTCTCCCTTCCTCTCTGTAAAAAAAATCAATAAAATATATTTTTAAAAAAGTAAAATAAAATTATGCTGTTTATCTCAGCTGTTTTCGTAAGCTATGCATAGGCATTAGTAAGGAAAGGTAAAATAGCTTGATTTAGTGCAGACGTTTATTTTTTTTAGTTATTTATTTTTTTTACTGTTTATAAAGGTTTTTTGTTTTGTTTTGCTTGCCTCACATTATGTTCAAATAATTTTGGACAATATAATTTAGTGTTACACAGTGAGAGCAAATATTATCTTATGTATAACTTTTAATGAATTCCATATCCTTCAGGTAAAAAGAACGTATTCTCACGGTACTTACAGAGCTGGCCCAATGCGACAAATCAGTTTGGTAGGAGCAGTTGATGAAGAAGTGGGAGATTATTTCCCTGAGTTCCTTGATATGTTGGAAGATTCACCGTTTTTAAAGGTAAGAGGAAAACATATATCAAGCAATCTAAATTGTGGGTGTTACTTTTATGCTACAGGTGATACAGATGGTTGTTTCAGAATTCTAACATTTTTTATTTTATTTGAATTGGAGGGAAGGAAAGGAAGAGATGAGAAATTAAATTCTAGTGTAGTGTATGTTTATGACTTCTCTGGTACTAATTGTAGTGGCAGAGCTAAGTGGGGGACCAGAAAATAACACTTACCTGTTACTGCCACTTTAGGAAATTAAGTTTCATCTGTTTATTAGCTATAGACAGAATATTAGGGGATTTAAGAAGTACAGGAAGGATGTATAAGTGCTTAGGAAAAGGGAATGGCCATTTGGCATTGTGGAAAACTGGCCTGGGAAATTGTACATCTGCATTTCATTCTTTTTTTTTTTTTTAAATATGCTTTTATTGATTTGAGAGAGAGAGAGAGAGAGAGAGAGAGAGAGAGAGAGAGAGAAAGAAAGAAACATCAGTGATGAGAGAGAATCATTGATTGGCTGCCTCCTGCACGCCCCCTGCTGGGGACCAAGACCACAACTGGGGCATGTGCCCTGACCAGGAATTGAACTGGTGACCTCTGGTTCATGGGTCAATGCTCAACCATTGAGCCACACCGACCAGGCTGCATTTCATTTTTGGCTATACCTAGCTGGGTTGGGCAAGCCATTTTTGGACTTCATTTTCCTCGTCCATAAAATAGGCATTTAAAATATGTAGCTTAGCCCTAAACGGTTTGGCTCAGTGGATAAAGTGTCAAGCCTGTGGACTGAAGGGTCCCAGGTTCTATTTCTGTCAAGGGCACATGTCTGCATTGCAGGCTTGATCCGCAGTGGGGGACATGCAGGAGGCAGCTGATCAATGATTCTCTCTCATCATTGATGTTTCTATCTCTCTTTCCTCCTCCTTTCCTCTCTGAAATCAATAAAGATATTATAAATAAATAAATAAATAAATAAATAAATAAATAAATAAATAGTCTTTAAATGATTTCTAGCTAGAGAAATCTCTGAGCTAGATTATTTAATTAGTAATTCAAAGGTTAAAATGTGACAAGATTAGTTTATCACAGACAATAGGGTGGTGAAGGCCTGGGGCAGGGGTGCAGACATGGGGACAGGAATGGGATAGAAGGGATCAAAGGGGGGAAAAGGGACATGTAATACTTTTAACAATAAAGATTTAAAAAAAAAAAGATCAGTTTATCACTACTGCTGCCTCTTAATCTGTTGAACATTGATTCTTTTTTTACTTCTGCTTGCTCAATTTTCTAGTCTATATGTATGTGTGTGTGTGTATATATATTTTTTCACCACATTTTATTTCCTTTTCAGTTCCTTTTTTATTCTTTTGAATTTTATATTTCTTTTCTATTTCTCCCAACTAGTGGTATCATGGAATTTGGTTGCATTTGTATTGAATGGTATTTTAAAAATACTATTATTTAAATATTTTTTTGAGATTTTTAAATTAAAAACAAATGCATTCTTTCTGGAGAAATTTAATTTGACGATTCTCCCCTTTTTGAAAAGGGGTATGGGATGATTTTTTTTTTAATGCCATTGTCACCATTCCATGGACTATTTGTCATTTCTTTCTTTTTTTTTTTCTCAAAGATTTTAATCTCTGCTTTTTAATCCAATAATTTTTTCAAGCAACTACTAAACAGAAATAAATTTTGATTGTGTTTTGGTTTTCCTCTTTGTACTAGGCTTTGATTATAACTAATCAAAGACGTATCTGTTTATTTTTATAGATTCTCATGGATAATACTTGCATATTTTGGCAACTTATTAACATATTTGGTAGAAGGAAGAATAACAAATGATGAGAATAGTGAATCATGTTCATGACAGGGTTGGGGAAGGAAATCACACCAAAATAATTATTCTCTTTGTGTGTTTGGAATAGAATTTTTGATGGAAAATTATGCATATGTAGGAATATATTCAATATAGGTATATCTTTCAAAGGGCATAAGTATAAAAGTATATATGAAAGTTTTAAAGGGGGCAGTATTCTTTAATGCATAGTTAAAGATATATTTTGAAAATAATTCATTTTTATGTAATTATTTGCCTCTAGTGTACACTGCCATGGGGGACACTATCTAGTCTAAAATTAGAGAGTCGAAAAGATAGTGATGATGGTCCTATCATGTGGGTACGCCCAGGAGAACAAATGATCCCTGTGGCTGATATGCCAAAGTCACCTTTCAAAAGGAAAAGGTATGTTGGATATACAAATTTGTATTGCTGAGGATGGGTGTTTATATGTTTGGGTGTGTGTATGTGTTGAAAATTGGAGGGAGAAGGAGGGGAAGGTTTAGGGCATAACTGGAATGTAAATTTAAGAATGGCTATATATGCTGATAGAATTTTTTAAAATGTACCAAATATAAATAAAACATGAGAAATGAAGGCAGATGACAATAATTTGTAATTAGAAATGGGAAAAATATCATTCACAGTAGAGACATAAAGTATTTGGAATAAATTTAATAAATATTTAGAACCCATATTAAAAAAACTAAAACATCTTATATAGGATATAAAATAAGATCTAAACAAATGGAAAACAGTACTGTATTTTGGATTGGATAAAAATAATATTTCTTTGAAACTTAGTATTTCAATTGGACTGATATTTCTAGCATTGGATAAATGATTTAAAACTTTATAAAGAACAATAAATAAAGCCAGCATATAGCCAAGACAATTGAGAAAGAGAAGATAAGTGAGGGGTCCTTGTGTTATTAGATAATAAAAATTACTATAAAGTTCAAAAAGATCATTAGAATAGGATAGAGCACACAAATAGATAAAAGTACAGTGGGGCCTTGACTTACGAGTTTAATTCGTTCCGAGACCGAGCTCGTTAAGGAGCTCGTTAACTCAAATTACTCTGTCAACTCATTGCAAAAAATCGGCCGAGAGACAGCTGGTATCTCAAAAAACTCGTTAGTCGGGACACTCGTAAGTCAAGGCCCCACTGTATATTGGGAAAGGGAATATTTATTCATGTGTAATGATGACATAATTGGCAGTCCACCTGAAAGGAAAAACCATAGCTCCTACCTCATTAAGAAGTTTGATATTTGCCCTAACCAGTTTGGCTCAGTGGATAGAGCATCGGCCTGCGGACTCAAGGGTCCCAGGTTCGATTCCGGTCAAGGGCATGTACCTTGGTTGCGGGCACATCCCCAGTGGGGAGTGTGCAGGAGGCAGCTGATCTATGTTTCTAACTCTCTATCCCTCTCCCTTCCTCTCTGTAAAAAATCAATAAAATATATATTAAAAAAAAAAGAAGTTTGATATTTAAACATAAGGTAAAAAATAAAAATAATAGAATAAAAGTTTGAAGCCTAGGAGAAACCTTTTTCAGCAAGATAAAAACATAATGGCAATAGTAGTGAGAAATTTTGGAGCAGATGACTTAAAATTTCCTTTCTCTTAATTATGTGATTACTCAATGCTTGTTGGCAGTTAAGCCTTAATACATCAGTACAAATGTTTGAGGGCAATTAATCCTTAACACATAGGCCTACCCCCAAACTTGTGGGCTTGAAAGCCTGTTAACTTCCCACAGTAAGCAACATTATTATGTAATTAGCTTTCTGATACCTATATAACATTAACCTCAAAGAGCAAAAAAGTATGTAATAGCATCATCGGTATTTGTGTGTAAGTTTGTAAAAAGACTGTAATGCAGGATTACACAAAGAGCAGTTAAGGAGTAGAGATTGATGGTAAATTAGAGAACTAATAAGGAAGAGACCCTAAGGCAGTGATGGCGAACCTATGACACACGTGTCAGAGGTGACACGCGAACTCATTTTTTTGGTTGATTTTTCTTTGTTAAATGGCATTTAATTTTTGGAAGTAACAGAAAAACCATACAGAAAGATAAATAAGACAATGATTCCCAATCAAAGAAATTCTTCTCAGTCTTTTCCTCTTCTACAGCAAATCGGAGAGGGTTTCTGCAGTGAGTGAGGTTAAGTAGTCAGCAGCTTCTTTGTGCATGTGGATTCTAGGTGTGAGCAGTAGAGAAGAGGGCCAATGTAAGAGGGAGCTAAGGTATTCCTTTCTATCCCCAATAAACCATGCGTGTTTTGTGGAAGTACTTATATGCTTGTTGTTTTCTTGGTATTTATTTATTTTTTTGTCTTCCTTTCACCGGAATATAAACTTCCACCAGAGTAGGGAATTTATTTTATTCACTATTGTCTTGTTCACTAGCTTCAGTGCCTAAATAATACCTGACATATCGTAGGTGTTCTATAAATATTAATGCATTTTTAAAGTTACCTGTTGTTCCAGATATATACATTATGTTAGCCATGTGCCCTGATTGGGAACATGCTTCCTCAGGTTAGACCCAAACTTCAGGTAAAGATTCTGCATAGGGAAACCTGGGTAAACCACACCACCTGTAATTTGGTTTCTTATCTAAGTGTATGTTGCCTTAAAACTTCCACTTATGGCCCTGGCCGAAGGGTTCAGTTGGTTGGAGCATTGTCTGGTACACCAAAAGGTTGTGAGTTCAATTGCCAGTCAGGGCACATACCTAGGTTGCTGTTTTGATCTCCAGTAGGAGCGTGATCTCACATCACTGTTTCCCTCTCTCTTTTTCCCTTCCTCTCCCTTCCTCTCTCTCTCTCAAAATCAATAAAAACATATCCTTAGGTGAGGAATAAAAACAAAAAGAACTTCCAGTTATAAAGGATGTGTTAAGAAAAGGAGTGGATTATATATGTGTTCTTGTTTATATGTGTTCATTTGAAAAATAAAACTTAATTTTGGAGCAGATGAAATTTCCTTTCTCTGAATTATGTGATTACTCAATGCTTGTTGGCAGTTAAGCCTTAGTACATCAATACAAATATTTGAGGGCAATTAATCCTTAACACATAAGCCTACCCCCATCTATATAAAATATAAGTGTAATTTTTTTTTAAACAGAACTACCAATGAAATAAAAAACCTGCAGTACCTACCTCGAACTAGTGAGCCCCGTGAGATGCTCTTTGAAGACAGGACAAGAGCTCATGCAGATCATATAGGACAAGGTTTTGAACGACAGACTACAGCTGCAGTTGGAGTGTTGAAGGCTGTGCACTGTGGAGAGTGGTATATATTAACTACTGCTATTTTAATGAAATGTTTTTTTGGCTTCTAAATTTTTTCTTGGAAAGTTTCTCGATCATTCTCCTTTCTGTGGGGGGGGGGGGGGGGATTTTATTTTCCCTAAAGTTGGATATTTTAACTGCCCTGAAAAAGATTTTCAATGACTAGAACCTAGTTTTATTTAGTCTTTTGGGTTTGACTGAAGGAATTTTATTTTCCAAGGAACTGTAGGTGAAAACAATGATCCTATCTAAGGTAAAAGGAAAAACTAAGATTCACTTAGTGCTTACTATATGCCTTTTTACAAATGTTGATTTGATTTTTATCAGCTACTTCTAGGCCCATATTTATCACACAAGGAAACTGAGGCTCAAGGCTGTGAAATAACATTACCATAGTTATAGAGTTAATAAATGGTAGAGCTGAGACTGATTTCAGATCTGACTCCAGCCAGACTCTTATGTTTTCTCTTTATGCTATTCTACCTTGCTGCTCCCTGCTAAGATTTAGTATAATTTTTACAAATTTCACTTTGGATCTTTTTATAGATTAAGAAAATGGATAAGTCTTTTTAATATACTTAAGGTATCATCCCATAATTAAGAGAATTTCCATTTATTGATAAAAAACATATAGCAAAGCTCTTGATATTGTAAGATATGTTTGCTCTCTTAAGTTTTTGTTTTCAAACTGAGTACTGTTTAGGTATGAAACCTAAGTTGGAATATGTTATTTTCTCAACAAAGTAGCTAGTACTGAATTAACCCTAAGAGATCCTTAAGAAAACAGTATTAATAGTTAATAATTCAATAATAATTGAATTGTGTTTAACTTAAATGTTAATTTTCAAATATTTGTGGTTATTTCCATATAGCTTCTATGCTCTTCCTGTAATCTGGAAATCCTTACAAACTCCTATTTCAAATTAATGAAATTTCTCTTGAATGTTTGGTAAAAAGGATTTAAGAATGGCATCAAGAATTATTTAGAGCTGAAACCGGTTTGGCTCGGTGGATAGAGCGTCGGCCTGCGGACTAAAAGGTCCCGGGTTCGATTCCGGTCAAGGGCATGTACCTGGGCTGTGGGCACATCCCCAGTAGGAGATGTGCAGGAGGCAGCTGATCGATGTTTCTCTCTCATCGATGTTTCTAACTCTCTATCTCTCTCCCTTCCTCTCTGTAAAAAATCAATAAAAAATATATATAGATCAACTTAATCCTAATAAAATCTAACACGTTTTTTTTAAAATATTTTTTTTAGCCCTAGCTGGTTTGGCTCACTGGATAGAGCGTCGGCCTGGGGACTGAAGGGTCCCAGGTTCGATTCCAGTCAAGGGCATGTACCTTGGTTGCAGGCATATCCCCAACAGGGGGTGTGCAGGAGGCAGCTGATTGATGCTTCTCTCTCATCGATGTTTCTAACTCTCTATCCCTCTCCCTTCCTCTCTGTAAAAAATCAATAAAATTATTTTAAAAATATATTTTTTTATTGATTTCAGAGAGGAAGGGAGAGGGAGAGAGATAGAAACATCAATGATTAGACAGAATCATTGATTGGCCGCCTCCTGCAGTCCCCCTACTGGGGATCAAGCTCGCAACCTGGTCATGTGCCCTTGACAGGAATCGAACCTGGGACTTTTCAGTCCGTAGGCCAAAGTTCTATCCACTGAGCCAAACCAGCTAGGGCTAATACGGTTTTCTTATTTAAATACAAAGAACCTAGGCAAAACAGTCTTGGAGAGATGGAGGGAGAATAATGTTGGAGGATTTACACTACACTGCCTGTCATTTTACTAGTAAAGCTTACTTTGAAGCAACAGTAAATAAGAGAGGGTGGTATTGGTATAAAGATAAACTTTAAGATTAATGGAACAGAATAGTGTCCAGTGTTCATTGATTTTTAGTGACGAGGCCAAAATAATTCACTGGGGAAAAAGAGTCTTTTCAAGAAATGATGCTGGCCGAAACCGGTTTGGCTCAGTGGATAGAGCGTTGGCCTGCGGACTGAAAGGTCCCAGGTTCGATTCCGGTCAAGGGCATGTACCTGGGTTGCGGGCACATCCCCAGTGGGGAGTGTGCAGGAGGCAGCTGATCGATGTTTCTCTCTCGATGTTTCTAACTCTCTATCTCTCTCCCTTCCTCTCTGTAAAAAATCAATAAAATATATTTAAAAAAAAAAATGATGCTGGAACAACAGGGTATCCATACACAAAATCAAAAATTAAAAAATAATGAGCCTTGACTTTTATCTCACACAATACAAAAATATTAAAATGGATCATAGAAATAAATGTAACCATTAAAACTATAAAACTTGTAGAATAAAACATTGGAAAAAATTTTGCACTAGGCAAAAATTTCATGAAACAATAGAAAATGATATCATTAAGATAGTGAAAAGTGGGCTACAGACTAGGGGAAAATATTTGAAGTGTGTGTATGTGTGCATATGTGTGAATGACATGTATCCAAATATACAAAGAATTCTTACAATTCAAAAATAAGAACACAATCCAATTAAAATTGGACAAATATTTGAACAGACATTTTACAAAAGATATACAAATGTTCTTTATTTTTTTTTAAGGAAAGAACTTGTTCTTCTTTTCTAATATAAGTATTTAAAACTAAATTTCTAAACACTTTGTTAGCTATATTCCACATATGTTGTGTTTTAATTATTATACTAGAGGCCCAGTGCATGAATTCGTGCATGGGTGGGGTCCAGCTGGCCCAGCCCCAGTCAGCAGTTCGGGGCCGGGCCAGTCCGGAGGAGGAGACAGTGGGGGGCCAGCTGGGGGCAGGGGCCATGGGTGATTGGCCAGTGGGCCCCACCCCTGATTGGGGTGGGGGGGCGATTGGGTGCAGGGCCAGCCATAGGGAGGGGCAGTGGGCCAGCCAGCCCTGCCCCTGAATGGGGCCAGGGGAGGTTGGCCGGCCAGCCCCACCCCCGATTGGTCTGGGGAGCAGGCTGATTGGGGTGGTGGGGGCTGATCGGGGGGTGGGGCTGGTCGTGGGGAGGGGCTGCAGGTCGATCAGGGTGGTGCGGGCCCATGGGGCGGGGCAGCCGGGGGGAAGGGCTGTGGGGGGGTTGGCTGGCCACCCCACCCTCCATCGGGGTGGGAGAGTGGATTAGGGGTGGGGCTGGCTGAGGGGAGGGGCTGAGGGAGGTCGTAGCCGCCCCCACCCCCAGATAGGGCCTGTTCAATGGCTGCAGTGGGCATCATAGCAATCGGTCGTTATGGCGTTTCAGTCGCTGGCTTTTTATATATATAGACAGTTCAGAATTTTTTAAGTTTTCTGTTTGATGTCTTTTTTTAAAAAAAATCATGGATTATTTAGAAGACTGTTGCTTCCTTTTCAATATTTGAGAATATTTTTCTAGATTTTTGGGGGGGTGTTTTGATTTCTAACTTAAGTCCCTTGTGGTAAGAGAACATACTCTGTATAATTTGTCCTTCTTAATTTACTGGGGTTTGTTTTATGGACTACCTTGATGAATGTTCTATGTGCACCTACAAGAATGTATATTCTGCTGTTATTGGGGGTATAATGCTTTATTAAGCACAATTAAGTTAACTTTGTTGATAGTGTGGTCCAAGTTTTCTGTATTCTTACTCACTTTTGTGTTATTAATCTCCAACTGTAACATTTAACTTGATTATTTCTCCTTTTAGCTTTGATACGGTTTTTTCCCCTTGTAGGTATTTTTCTTTGATATCAGCTTTATTGACATACAGTTCACCCATTTAAAGTATATATAATTCAGTGGTTTTTAGTATACTCAGAGTTGTGCAGCTATTACTACAATTATAGGATATTTTTATTAACTCAAAAAGAGATATCACTTGTTTATGGATTGGACTTTTTATCTATTACATCCTCTTCAGCTCTAGGCAACCATTAGTCTGCTTTCTTCTCTCTGTAGTTGTCTATTCTAGATATCCTCCTATATAATAAAAGGGTAATATGCAAATCAACCAAATGGGGGAAGGACTGGTCGCTATGATGAGCACTGACCACCAGGGGGCAGATGCTAAATGCAGGAGCTGCCCCTGGTGGTCACTGCGCTCCCACTGGGGGAGCGCTGCTCAGCCAGAAGCCTGGCTCACGGATGGTGAGTGCAGTGACCCGCCTCCATGGCAGCGCTAAGGATGTTCATCATTTGGACATCCCCCGAGGACTCCTAGACTGCAAAAGGGTTGTGGCCGAGCTGAGCGACCCCCCCAGTGCACAAATATTGTGTACCGGGCCTCTAGTTTCATATAAATGCAGTGACATAATATGTGGTCTTTTGTGATTAGCTTCTTTCATTAAGCATGTTTTCAAGGTTTATAGTTTTTGAAGCTCTGGTAATAGGTGACTACACATTTAGAATTATTATTTCTTTTCAAATTGACCTCTTTATCATTATAAACTGTCCTTTTTATCCTTGGTAATATTCCTTGTCTTGAAATCTACTTTGATGTTAATACATCCAGTCCAGCTTTCTCATGATTAGTCTTTGTCCATTCTTTATTTTTTCATTTGTGTGCCTATATTGTTTCATGTAGATACCGTATATTTTGCTTTTTTAAAAATTCAGTGATAAACTGTCTTTTAGTTGGAGTATTTAGACCAGTGGTTCTCAACCTTCCTAATGCCGCGACCCTTTAATACAGTTCCTCATGTTGTGTTGACCCCCAATTTCATTGTTAAGTATTGAACATAATTAAAGCATAGTGATTAATCACAAAAACAATATGTAATTATATATGTGTTTTCCGATGGTCTTAGGCGACCCCTGTGAAAGGGTCGTTCGACCCCCAAAGGGGTCACAACCCACAGATTGAGAACCGCTGATTTAGACCATTTACATATAATGTATCAGTAAATGTAGATTTAAATTTATCATCTTTTTCCCATTTGATTCTTGTTTATTCCCTTTCCCCCCTTTTCTTGTATTTTTTAGCATTCCTTATACCTTCACTATTTGCTTATTAGTGGTTGCTCTAAATCAGTGATGGCGAACCTATGACACACATGTCAGAGGTGACACACGAACTCATTTTTTTGGTTGATTTTTCTTTGTTAAATGGCATTTAAATATATAAAATAAATATCAAAAATATAAGTCTTTGTTTTACTATGGTTGCAAATATCAAAAAATTTCTATTATGTGACACGGCACCAGAGTTAAGTTAGGGTTTTTCAAAATGCTGACACGCCGAGCTCAAAAGGTTGGCCATCACTGCTCTAAATTATGAGAATCTAGCTTCAAATATATACCTGTTTATGTAATGTGTTAAGAACCTTTCAATAGCATACTGCCACTTATTAACTCCCCTCCCCCAATTTCTGGACTTTTTGCTAATTATTGTCATACATTTGTACTTTACATATGCTATAAACGCCCAATATGCTACTTTAGCTATAAGGAAGTATTCCCGAAGAGATTTTAAAAAAGAGATTAAAATACCTTTTATATTTACTATTGTGCTCTACATTCCTTTGAATAGATTTATATTTTCATCTAAGTATCATTTTCCTTCAGTCTGAAGAAATTCCTTTAACATTTTCTGTTGTGCACCAGTCTTCTGGTGACAGATTCTTTCAGCTTTTGTTTGTCTGAAAATGTTTTTATTTCACATTTTGAAAGATATTTTTTGTAGCTATAGAATTCTAGATTGACTTTTTCTTTCAATATTTAAAAGATAATCTGTTGTCTTCTGGTGTGCAATGTCTTTCATGAGAAGCCTGCAATCATCCTCATCCTTCTTTCTCAATATATTAATGTGATGTATGAGTTTTAGATTTTCTCCTTATCACTATTTTGAAAAAATTGTTTATAATTTGCTTGGCATAATTTTTTGTTTTTGTTTTTGTATTTAGTTGCTTGTAATTTCATAAAAAAAAAAAATTCCCCTCAGCATTTTTTGTGAAGATATATTTGTATAATCCTAATTAATTTAAGAATTTGGGAATTTTTCTAGGGTTATATTTAAAGACAAGCAGATAGCCCTAACTGGTTTGGCTCAGTGGATAGAGTGTCACCCTCGGACTGAAGGGTCCCAGGTTCAGTTCTGATCAGGAGCACATACCTCAGTTGCAGACTCAATCCCCAGTCCTGGTTGGGGTGTATGCAGAAGCAACCAAACGATATGTCTCTCTCACATTGATGTTTCTCTCTCTTTGTCTCTCCCTTCCACTCTCTCTAAAAATCAATGGAAAAATATCCTTAGGTGAGATGAACGATAGATAGATAGGTAAGTAGGTAGGTAGGTAGGTAGGTAGGTAGAGATAGATAGATAGATAGATAGATAGATAGATAGATAGATAGATAGATAGATAGATATTAAAAGAAAATAGAGTGGTAACAGTTTATTAGTCCTTTCATTAAGTTATTTAGGGGTTTTAAGTATCATTATAGTTATATATGTCTTTATTGAAAGAAAATATTCCCTTCCCCCATATTTAACTCTAATTTTTATATAAAGTTAGTTGTTTTTTTTATCCATTTAGGTTGAAATCCATGGTATTATCCCTTTGTTTAAATATGTAAAGTGGTCTGTTAATTATAATTTAACTTTATTTCTAAAACAGTACTTTGGTTTTGACTATAAACTATTTTTAATTTGAATTTAATAAGGTCTTAACAGAATGAAACATTAATGGCACATTCTTCCTTATCTCATATTCTTTTTTAGGCCTGATCAACCCCGAATAACCAAAGATGTCATTTGTTTTCATGCTGAAGATTTCTTAGAAGTAGTTCAACGAATGCAGTTAGATTTACATGAACCTCCACTGTCCCAGGTATATTTAAAACCATTATTGTCTTCAGTTGAATTTTTATTGTGAAAAAGACTTACTGCTATTCCTTGTTTCTTTTTTTAGTGTGTCCAGTGGGTTGATGATGCAAAACTTAATCAACTGAGGAGAGAAGGCATTCGATATGCCAGGATTCAACTGTATGATAATGACATTTATTTTATTCCAAGGAATGTTGTTCATCAGTTCAAGACAGTTTCAGCTGTGTGTAGTTTAGCATGGCATGTTCGGCTCAAGTTATATCACTCAGAGGAAGACACTGCTCAGAATACAGATACTCATGAAATGGGCACATCACCAGGTTCTACATCATCAGTTCTTGGACCTCACAGTGACGATAGGATTTGTGCTGTAAGCAAAACCTCTTTGGAGTCTATTTTTTCAGATACACTTCATTCTAAATATGAAGTACAGCAGATTAAACAGGAACCTGTTGCATCTGTAAGAATCAATGAAGAATCTGTGAATGTTTATGTTTCTGAAGAGACTAGAACACCTAATAATATGGATGTCAAGAATGTTAAAGCAAAATTGGATCATGTTCAATTTACAGAATTTAAGATTGAAGTGGACTCCACATTTGAAAATAGCAACAAAGACTTAAAGGAGGAATTGTGCCCTGAAAGTCTCTTAAGTCTAGTTCATACAAGGCAACATAGTTCAGTACATTCACATCAAAATAGAAAAGATGATGACATTTTGTGCTAAATATGTACATACCATTTAAAATCTTTTTTAAAAAAACAACTTAATAATGTAATAAAGATTCATGAATTATGGAAGCAAGCAAAGGACTTGCTCTCAAGTCTGTTACGAAATATAGTTTATGTAGCTTTGTAACATTCCTCAGTGCCTGTCCATAACTGTGAAGTCTCAAAGCACTTAGGGCCAGATGCACTGTAAACATTGCAGGTTTAAACAAATGGAGTCTTTAAAAAGTCATTTGTGTTGGAGTTGTAGGTTTTAGAATAGAGCTGACATATATATATATATATTTTGTAATATGAGCCAGAATTCTTTTTCAACAATTTAAGGCTTTTCCATAGAGCTTATTTATACCAATTTTTTTTTCATTTTAAATGTGTCAGCACTGTAGTGTAAATAGCTTTAAAATTTTTTTTAGTGTGATTTATATTGAAGTGTGAGCCACTTAATAAAGGTTCATAATAAATATGTTTTCTGTCGGGTGTGCAAAAGACAAACTGATAATTCAGTTAAATCATTTATTTAATCTATCATGTGTCTGCTGGTGTATCCATTTAGAATGGTAAAGGAGAGCAAATGTACATATTCAAATCTAGTGAATATTTAAATTCCCCACATTGTGTAAGCATTTTTAAAACCAAGATTCAGTTATGAAAGCATATTTATGTGTGTGTATGTATGGGAATATATATATATATATATATCATTTTACATAACTTCTTAAATTGCTGAATAAGATGAATGTGTGAAACTTCGTAGCCCTACTCCCAGGAATTCATTTTAAAATATTTATATTCAACATTAAGAAAGCAGTGTAGGTAACAGAAATAATTTTGTAAAGTTGGGCAAAACAAGTCTGTTAGTGATATCTAACCCTTCTAATTAATGAAGTTTTGTGGCCAGATTACATAGCCCTAACATAAATTTTATTTGTAGTGTATGGAATGATAAGTTGAGATGATTTTCTTATTAATAGGCACCTTTGCTATACCTAACAGTAGTTGAGTAAAACATATTTACAGAAAGTTTAATTGTGGCAGTTAAAATCCTTTTACATTTTTCTTGCAAAGCAAGTAGAAATATGACAAATATAAAATCTTAAAATAAGGACAGGATTCATACAGAGATGTAGCTAACAAAAAGTGTTCTCTCTTCTTTCTAAGGATCCCTCTGCCTACCCTAGCAAGGTAAATAACAGAGTATAGCTGACTCTTGAATAACATAGGTTTGAATTGCACAGGTCAATTGAAAAAATTCTGTGTGTAAGTGGATCCACGCCGTTCAAACTCTTGTTCAAGGGTCAACTGCATTTGTTTTTCAAAAGAAGCTCTAGAAAGTAAAATTGGGGTAGGAAACAGGATTGCCAGTGCCTAGCCAAAGATTATTAAAATAATTGTCTTCAGTGATGGATTTCAGCAACTCTGCTTATTACAAATCTATTTTGTCTTTGTTATTTTTCTGGGCTTATACTTTGGTTGATGACTTTCAACTGGGGTTCTTTGTGCTGCCATTTGGGCTAGAGTTGCTATTCTCATTTCAGTGGTTTCCGCCCCAGCCTCATTTGTGATACCCATAAAACTGCTTATTTTCCTGGTTAGGAAGAAGCCATTTAGAAAGGCATTTCAATCAGAAAAATATAAACTATAGCAATTAGATCATTTCTGGCCCCTAGTTGAAAAGAGTAGGCAAATATTGTTGGAAATCTCAATGGTTTGTGGGAAATCAATATATTTACAACATAGGAATCTTCATGGAATAAAGATATAAATCATGATAATGTAAATAAGGACTTTCTTTTATATCTTACTGTCTTATCCTATCCCTCACTTTAATCTCCTCTTAAAGCTAAATTTATGTATTTGCACCTACCATTTCAGGAGACAAAAGTTCGTAACAAACCAGTATTGAGAAATAGGAGATATTTTTCTGGTTTTAATTGAAGGGTAATATATTTAACAGGATTTTAGTTTCAATTTTCCAGTAGCATACACATAGATATATAAGATCATACTGTAATAAAATATCTTGGGTATCCCTCCAAAATATATGAGCCTTAATTAAACGTTTATTTTTTTAAAATATACTTTTATTGCTTTCAGAGATGAAGGGTTAGGCAGATAGAAATATCAATGATGAGAGAGAATTACTGATTGGCTGACTCCTACATGCCTCCTACTGGGGATCTAGCCAACAACCTGGGCATGTACCCTGCCCGGGAATCGAACCAAGACCTCCTGGTTCATAGGTCAACACTCAACCACTGACCCACACTGGCCGGAATGAAATGAAACTTAATTTAAATTTAAAGATCTATCTAACAAAAGAGTGGTTTCCTTTTGTTTCCTATATAGCCTAAAGTCAAACTTCTCCATCTTTTGAAAATTTGTTTTGTAAAATACATACATCTCTGTGGACATGAAATATAAATCAATTTCAAATTCAGATTTCAAGATATAGCCTTGTTACATTGAATAATGCTTAAAGTTCCTTGTATGGATTATGATTTTAAAATCCTCTTCAGATGCAATCTGAGAATTTTTTGACTACTTTTGTTACACACAATTTCTATTTCAATATTGCAGCATATCGATGGTTTCCTAGTCAGTACATTCCAGTTCTTTATCTGAACACAGGTTTTTTGCTGTTATTTCAAATGTTTTGGACCAGCACAATAACACATTTAAGATACAGCTTCTATATGATCTTATACTATATAGAATAGTTATGTAAATTATTAAATTGATACATAGACCGTTAGAAAAAAACAAAAGTACCTCAGTGGTATCTATGACAATACTTTTTTTAAAAATTACTTTTGTTTATACCCTTTTAACTAAGTAATACATATTCAATACTCAGGTTAGCTGGTTAGCTAGCAAAAGAATTAAGCATTTATGATAATTAGTTGAAAACTTTACAAAAGCCATATTCATTATCTTTCTTGTCACTAGGCTGTTGACCTTCAATAAAGATTAGGTTAATGTAGCACATCTATGTGTGTGTGTGCATGTGTGTAAGATTATTGGAAATACTTATGTTTGCTTCCACATATATTCATTTTCAGTACACTCTATAACTTTGGGTGGTGGGTCTTGGAAGGTAGGAAAGATTTATTGGGTTAAGTCTTCAAAGTATTTCATTAGTGTTCCCAAGTGTAACAGTTTTTTTTCTCAAACACACATGGCAGGTGAGATCATTTTTGTAAATAATAGGTTAGCACTATTTTGCTAAATTGCATTCAGTTTGGTTTTGGGGTTTTTTGTTTTTTTTTTTGACAAGTTCATTGTCATGTAAAGCAAGTATCTCAAAATTCATTTTACACTTAGCAAAGGTGCAAGATTTGTTTTTGGAGTTTGAGAGGATTTTCCTTGTCTTCCACCTTTCAATAAATATTAAAATTGATAACCATAATCTTTTTACCTTTGTTTTTGTAATTATTTTTTTTACATTTTATTTTTATTTTCATCTCGTCGTCTAAAAGTTCTTGTTTCTCTGTCTTCAACAGAAGCCATAAGGTCTAGAAAGTGATTCCAATATGAAAGTTTTTTTTCCCCTCTTAACTGATTACCATAAATTAATTTATGCCAACAGAAAATATTGAAGATTACCTTAAACAAATTCTCTAAACTACTTAGGTATGGGTGCTGAGATGGCATGGTAAATTACTTCCCTTCCCTTTAGACATGACCATTTCAATCTCAGGAGGGGAGGACAAAAGTCGAATTGTTTTCTAAATACTTTTAAGCTGATAAGTGACATGAAGAATTTTATGTCTTCAAAGTGGTAGAACAGTTCTTAATCTTTCTTCCACCTGATATAACTGCTTTGATATATAAACAAAATTTTACTGGTTTTAGAATGTGTTGTCTGTTTCATGGAAGAGTTATATTTGATGTCTTTTGCAGAGACAGTATAACTCTGATATAGTTAAGAGGACAACTCAGGAGAGGTATAAATTCCTTTATCTCTGTTCTGATTTTTCTGTTCAGTTCTTCCTCTAACCTACTGCATACTACAGATGGAAATGATCACTTTTTAGAACAGGGGTGGGGAACATCCAGCCCTTGGGCTGTATAAGGCCCTCAAAATCATTTGGTCTGGCCCTCCTAAGGCATTAGGAGTTAATTAAATGTTTGACCAAATATAGCAGCTAATTTTTTAAGTTGATTATTTTGTATGGCCCGAGAATGATGTTACAAATACCCAAATGGCCCTTGGCAGGAAAAAGGTTCTCCACCCGTTTTAGAATGTCAAGCACAAGGAGCTGAAAACCAGAGATATCTTTCCTTTCTAAGTTTATAGACATTATATATCATATACAGTATATTGGGAGGACAGGGTAAGGAGAGGAAAACATTTTGTGTTTCAGTTAATCTTCCTTTCCAGGACTTCAGAGCCAATCAGGGAATGTGAATGAGCTGAGAACAAAATGTGGGGAAACAGAATTTATGTTAACTAGAAATTAAAAATAAAATGTACTAGCCCCTGGCCAGTTGCTCAGTGGTTAGAATGTTGGCCCACTGACTCAAGGGTTCAAGGTTTGATTACCGGGCAAGGACATATGCTTAGGTGTGGGTTCATTCCCTGGCCCTGGTTGGGGCTGGTGTGGGAGGCAACTAATTGATGTATCTCTCACATCTCGATATTTCTCTCTCTCTCTTTACTTCCACCCTTTCACTCTCTAAAAAATAAATGGAAAAAATATCCTCGGGTGAGGATTAAAATAAATACATAAAATGTATTAGTTGTATATTTTATTGCTATTATCTGCTTTCCAAGAAGTGCATTAAAATGAGACATTCTATACTTTTTTGAATTTAGAATTTATGCATCCATGTTTTTAAAATGTCTTTATACTTTTCTATCAAGTGCACTGCTGTTGTACTATTGAAGACTACTAAGTATGCAGACTCCCAGTCAAATCGGTATAGTTGCAAATATTTTGAGTAATACAATATTTATAATTTTATTTGGGTAGTTTTATCTGCCCCTCAAGCTTTTATTTATTTATTTATTTATTTATTTATTTATTTATATTTTTTAATCCTCACCCAAGTATATTTTTCCATTGATTTTTCAGAAAGAGTAGGGGAGAGAGGGAAAGACAGAAATATCGATGTGAGAGAAACACATTGATTGTTTGCCTCCTGCATGCGCCCTGACCAGGGCCAAGGCCAGGGAAGAACCTGTAACCGAGGGAGTTATGGGCCCTTGACGGGAATTGAACCCAGGACCCTTCGGTCCATAGGTCAGTGCTCTATCCGGTTGAGCCAAACTGGCTAGGGCTGCCCCTCAAGTTTTATATGAAAAGTCTCAGGTCTGTCATCTTTAAAAAAACAACTTCTCACCCTGACAGGTGTGGCACAGTTGGTTGAGTGTAATCCCATGCACCAAGAGATTGCTGGTTCAATTCTGGATCAGAGCACATGCCCTGATTGCAGGCTTGACCTCCAGTTGGGGGTGTCATGCTGATGGATGTTTCTTACATTGATGTTTCTCTCTCCCTCTCTAAAATCAAAAACACCTCTTGTGTTTGGCTTCTGTTTATGCTCCTGTTCCATCTCTATTCCTGATTGATAGTTTTTGAAAATATGTCTGCCTTTACTTCTTCCTCATATCACTACAATTGCAATCCTCAAATTTAATCACTCAGCTGAAATGGTTCTCTCAAAGGACATCATTTGCCAAATGCAGTAGCTGCATTTTTCTTTTTTAATCCTCACCTGAGGAAAGTGAAGATATTTTTTCCATTGATTTAGAGAGTGGAAGGGAGGGGGGCAGTGAATGGGGATAAAAAGAGAGAAACATGGATGTGAGAAACATTGATTGGTTGCCTCCCACACGCAGCCTGATCCAGAGTGGGTATCAAACTTGCAACCCAGGTAGGTGCCCTTGACTGGGAATTGAACCTGAGACCATCCAGTATGCAGGCCGATGCTCTAACCACTGAGTTTGTCAGCTAGGGTAGTGGCTGAATTTCTAAATTCTGTTTAACCCTGTGGCACTTGTCAGTCATTTACTCCTTAAAACTCTGTATGACCCATCTGTTTTGTTTTGTTCTGTTTCTTTGGATGGCTTCTTTAGCCTCTCCATTATTTAACTTAGTCTCCATGATTATTTCTCGTAGGTCTCTACACTGGGTCCTTGAACTGTCTTCATGACTTTACTTAGCATTGGTTCTCACTTAAGTTCTAATACACCTTGTAATCAAATCCAAACTCCACTCTTGCCCCCAAGCATTAGCTGTTCTTTTTTTCTCCTAATATGGAGAACACAGTCATCTCATAGTAAACTGATTTCTCTAGCATTTCCTCTGTACAATGCATTATGAGATTTTCTTGAGTTGACTCCAGGAATGTTTATAATTGGTCTATTCTTATTATAGATATTCAGAATGATTGTAGATGTTCATCTCACCTGGACTTTTAAGGTCGCCTAAAATGCTGCTTGCAGTCTTCAGCCCCTATCCCCATTCCAATCCATCCAACAAAATTGTAGTTGATATATATTAAACAAAATTATAGTTGATATATATTAAACAAAATTATAGTTGATATAAATTTCAGGTGTAAAACATGCTGATTTAACATTTCTATACTTTACAAACTGGTCTAGTAACCATCTGTCACCTCAATCCATTCTTTTTTTAAAAAAAATTTTTATTGGTTTTTTTACAGAGAGAAAGGGAGAGGGATAGAGAGTTAGAAACATCGATTCAAGAGAAACATCGATCAGCTGCCTCCTGCACACCCGCTACTGGAGATGTGCCCACAACCAAGGTAC